CATCCTTGTCATAAACCGGTGTCAAGGAACAAGTACGAGTCTCCAGCACGGCAGGCCTCTCCTGCGCCCCCATCCATCTATTCCTGTTTCTGATAAACAGGAGATGGCGGTTCCTGTTACACGAGAACCACATGGAAATCTGTTTTGTCTGTAAAATAGTGACTGTTAAGGGTTTAAAAGAGAAAAAAAAAAAATTATTCCAGCAAAATTCATGAAAACACAGTGGCAGGCATCAGGTATGTAAGCAAGGAGGCTGCTGTGTGCAGCTCCACGCCGTATTCCCTAGGAAAGGGAAAACATTTCCAGTTTCATTCGGCACTTGCCAGGCTGCTGCCCTCCGCTGGTGCTGCCTGGGCAGCGCCTGCCCGGTTGCCCAGCGCTGGGGCCGAGGTTGGGAAGTCGGGAGCAAGCTGGCAGCGCTTGGTGCAGGTTGGAACCTCCCACCGTGCTCCTGCTCAAGAGAGCTTATTTAATTTAAAAAAAAAAAAAAAACCAAACAGAAAGTATATTGGCAAGAGGGCTCGTTTACAGATCGGTATTGCATCTCTCAGAGGCCCTGGAGGGAAGGGGGAGCACATAAGGATCTTGGGTTTTTTCCTAGGCAGGATAGATTGACTGGAAACGCCCCTGCAGCCTTCTCCCCTCCTCCACATTTGGGGGGGTTGGTGCAGCAGCGCATTCGCTCCCGTGTCACACGCTGTGGTAGTGGCTGCGCACACACACAGGCATCCAGTCAGGACTATGCACGTCCCTCCGTGCCCCAACTTGTGTTTAAAACATCCAGTCTCCTTGTGCCCTGTGATCCTCCTTCACCCTCATGCATCTGTGTCAAGACACTGGGATTCCAGCTGGTGCTTCCCAGTACATGCGGCTTTGGTTAGGCACTGTCCTTTCTACTGTATCAAGATCTAATACAACATCAAATAAGTACAAAGACAGTCAAAACAGTTTCAAAGCAATGGAAACACAAACCACTTTACAACTTGGAACTCACATTGTAACTACCCTCACTTTCTTGTAGGAAGGACCTAAGGAAATAGTGTAACTTCCATGTGAGGAATGCTTCTCCTTGCTTTGAGATCCCACAGAAATCTGGAGCTTTGATGGGCTTTTGCATTTGGATAATTTTTGATCCACTTGCCAGAATACCTGGTACTGAAGAATAGCAAATCAGTGTAGCTCTGCTTGAAGGAGAGAGGGGGTTCTCGTTTTGGTTCAGAGTTGAATTGACTTGATTGGAATGAATTGTTGCAGATCTTTGTGAAACCCTTGGCATAAACACGAAAAAAAAAAAACATACAGCATCCATAACAGTCAACTCTGATTTTACATTTAAAAAACTGCAGCTATGCTGAACAAAAGCAAATCTATCACTTAATGCAAGGCTGATATCGATCATCTGTCTTAGCCAAAGAAATTCATTATACTGTTCATACCCATAGTGAACTCATCTATGGTATGGAGCCAGAGGTGCTGGAATCTCTTCAGTGCACTGGGTGGCCTTGGAAGAGGCGAAAGACCTTGACCAACATCTCTGTGCTTTAGTTTTCCCCAAGGGCAAACCGGAGACACTCACCTGTTCAGAAAGGGGGCTGCTTTTTATCCGGTGCTTTAAAAGTCTTGGCTTTATAGCGTGAGAAGTGAAAGCTCTTGGAGTTGCTTTCGTTTTATTTTCTAGTAGCACAAAGCGGATTGATCAGCGCTGTATATTGATTCAGTGCAAAAAAAAAAAAAAAAGGAGTGCAAAAGGAGTATTGTGGAGACACGGTTATATGCAACATAGAAACCTGCCATGCTTTAAACTAGTTTGGTTAAATCTGTCCGAAAAATCTGGACAAAAATACATCTTGGCTTATCTCAGCTCAATTAGGAACAGATTGAAGGTAAAGAAAATTAAACCCGCCGTTCAAACCAAGGCAATGCCATGTGCGGGCAAGCCTGCAAGGAACCGCACGGACACCATTGTGAAAGCCTCCTAGCCAGCTCTTAAGGGCTAAAGCTGTCATCTTCCCCTTTTCAGTTCTTAGCTCTTATGTTCCTTCTTCCTAAATCTCCCCAGAACAATTCAGATCACCTGTGTCATTACTGAGGCTTAAGGAGCAAAGAGTGTAAATCATTTCTTAATTAGAAGGGGAGGGGAATAGGATGGGGGCATCATTAGGCAAACAAAGCAAAGCAGCTAGTACAATAGGTGGTAAGTAGACTATTAGTCTCTGCTAAGTACTTCTTCTTTAGCTTGAACCAGGAACAGCAGTTTTGGGGAGAAAAAAGGGATTTAGCAGGAACATATCCCATCTAGCTAAAGATATGCTAAACTCAGTAGCAAGGCCCCTCAAATTAGTGAAGGGATAGAATTTACATAAAAAATACCCTGGGCTTTTTCTCGTCCCCGCATGAGTTGATCTGCTTTTAATGCAGATGCTAATTGAGACCAAGGTAATCCGAGTTCACAATGGTGCTTGATGGAAGCTGTTAAGCAAATGGTTCTTTGAAAAACGTCTCTCCAGCCCGTGGAGGGCAACAAATCGGTTAGTTCTTGTTTTCCCTCGCGCTTTTGAAAAATATTGAACCCTTGAAATATTTGCTCTGGCTTTGTTGCCGGAAACATTAGTTTTAACTGTATAGAAAATCCTGTCGTTCCCACCAGCTTTGCCAGCGAGCGCCTGCTCGCTTAAGCCCCTTTGCCTTTTTTTTTTGTGGGTGTCTCAGGTTTTAAGACGTGGAACACACGGCGGAAGGTGGGGGGAGAGGAAGGTATGCTGACTCCGACCTGTCTGCTAATCCTTGCCAGAGAGCAATTAAGGCAGCATTCACAAACCGATTTAGCTTTTCTTTTCCTCACTTCTGACCAGCTTTTTTCCGTTTAATTCTTTAGGGTTACACGTGAACCTCTTGACCCTTTTCTGTTTTATGGTCTCAGGAAGGCTGTTTCTCTGGTTTCTTATTTAATTTAAAACCTTATCCTGGAGAGCTTTCCATTCCTGTTGAAGTTGACAGGAGGTCTGTGACACTGCAGATTGAGGCTTAAGTGTACTGTCAGGTCACATATTCCTTTACCTTTCCTAGTTCAGAAAATCTCCGGTAGAGAATAACCAAGTTTTGGTAAAGGAGACACTAGCTGATAAAACCACCTCTTGTCCATTCCCAATGTCCGAGTGTACGAAGCATAAAATAGATCTTCCTCAGGGCGTAAAAGTGACGCGAGTTGCTCTGTGTTTCCCAGAACAAAGAGCATCAGGAAGGATTCTGTTCATTTGTCTCTGAACTGACGAGTTTTTGTCATGATGTACTATCAAAATTGGACACTTAACCAGATAAACTACTCCCTTCAGCCACAGATTTTCCTCAGCCAGCTGCAACCAGCAGTTAGTATAAAAAGGAAGACGCTTTCTAAGTGCTTTCAGCAATACAAGTTTAACACGTAGCTTTAAAAACCATCATTCCAGCTGCGGTGCTGTGTATGGGCACAGTTATCAATAAATCCCAGTGCCCTTTGACTATGACAAGGACAACACTTTTAAATTCAAGCTAGTGCATTTCTGGAAGCCTTAGCTTATTTTCCAGTACTAAGATAAGTGTACAACAGGAGTCTCAGTATTTTGGGAAAGCTTTTATTTTTAGGGTATTCTGTTTTCCTCCTTATGTTCCTATTCCGATTTTAAGAGGAACTGGCCAAGCAAACCTAAGTCACAGCCCTGGGTCAGCCAAGTTCTGTGAAACTTCTGATTCACACCCATGAAAGTCAGGAAGTTATCCCAATACATCACCTTGCCCCTACAAACTAGGGCACTCGGATATATATGTGCTTAGTATAAGCATTAATGGAGGACATACAGCTCACCAGAATTTAGATGGAACGTTCTGAAGTAAAATATACATCAAGAAGTGTACGGTCATAATTTGTTTACACAGTATATTCGTCCCGTTGACTTACAAGTCTCCAAGCATCTTTATCGTACCCGTTTTCTGTTTGATAGGCAGTACTAACACGGGAAAGGCTTTAACTTTTTATACCCGTAAGATTTTTAAGCCTTGGCCCCTGCTCGTACTGGCAACACCTGTGGAGTCCTTTTAACGTGCATTCACAGTATAATCACTCAGGTTTCTGTGCTGTGAGGAGGTGTTAAAACACTCCAGCAGCGAGTAGTATATTTTGACAACTTCTTCCTATCAGTGTCCTGCTGTGAAGGGGATGGCTGCAGTCAGGCAGCATGCATCTTAACAAGGAGGCAAAGTAGGCAAGCTTTTCCAGCGTATTCTCAGAAAAATGATTGGAGTCTTATTTTTGTTCTTACCTTACCCTGTAATTCTTCGTCCATTTGAAGTGTCCAGTTATGTAAAGGAAAAAAAAAACCACTAAGCCACCCAAAGAGAGGAAGCAACACATACGTTGTTTTTATTATCTTCCCCTAGGATCTGTACTAAACGTACACTTTACTGAAATTAGGGCTAGAAGTTGCTCCTTTAGCAGCACCACTTAACGGATAGTTCATCAGGGGCAGGGGAGTCACAGGCGGTGTTTTACCATCACTTTACTGGTAGAAGTGTGTCGACTTGAGTACAGCCTCACTGTGCTTTGCAGGCTGTCAGCTGTCCACAGTTAATAACTCCACTGAGGCAGCTCCCTGTCCTGAGTTACTGAGCAGTGACACAACTACAGAAATTGGAACCAAGTCCTCTGACATGTCCCCTAGAGCATGGTAGGGCAGCTTGAAAGGACCAGGGAGCGGTGAAACTCATTTCTACCGTTTCAGTCGTTCCTTGAACAGGTACGCAGGCCTCAGACTCTTGCCTGTTGCAACAGCATTAAAATAATACAAGTTCAAAAGCCAAGAACCTAAAAGAAGTTCTAAACTGCCATCTTCAGAGCTGTAAAAAGCCAAAATTGATGCACTTCCTAATAGCATCAAACATTTGAAAGTCCTCGTTTCAGTCACAAAGAACTTTTTATGATCGTGAAGTAGCATCCAGTTCAGGCTGCGTGCTGATGTGTCGTCTTCTCAGACGTGGACTCCTGAGCACATCATTTGGTCACCTTGTGTTACCCCAAGAGGGGAGGCGTTAGCGCTGTGTCCATAAATTGTTCTTTTAAGGAAAGATGCTGGAGCCATGATTGCGGTATGATCAGTCGGAATTCTGTGGTGAGCGCGTGAAGGGTGCAAGAGTTGCCCACTGGTAGGTGAAGGACTTAAGAACCGAGTATCTTCAGCCAACCCCATGATAGGAAGGGATGGAGCCAGGGTCATGCAGATGTTGCTGGTCTGAGGAGCGCTACTCAGTGAGCTTCTGGTGGCGGAGCTGGAACTGGAGAGGCGAGAAGGGAGATCAGGTTCTAGTAGCCAAGTCTGGCCAGGTGCAAGTCCGCTTTGCTGCCCCTCGTCCTGGGATTTTAAGCATTTGCAGCAGCAAATTCCAACGCAGGCACCGCCAACGACAAATGCCACGAATACAGCCCCAACGAGGAGGAACGGCAGGTACACGGGCACTGAAAATGGAAGAGTGACATTAGCCAACCATTCGGTCCTGGGTTATTCTAGGGTATATTCTGTTCTTCATCCCTTAAGGCATGCGTGCACCAGGCAGCAGGCCAGAGGAGTTTGCCTCTCAGTTCCTCTCTTGCTGCAGCAAGAAGGTTAGAAACTGGCAATTGCTGTGGCAGGCTCATTTGGAAAAGCCTGAAGTACAGAGGGTTGGACCAGTCAGTCCTGCAGCATCTGCCCTTCATATCCGTGCAAGAGCTGTTCCAGTGCTCAAGTGTCACAGCTACTGTTCACTCGTGCGAGATTAAGTACAAATTCAGGCTTGTACCCGAGTTTTCCAGTCAGTACCTAAACTGCGGTTGGTTTGCCTGCGGGATCTGGGTTTGAGGGCTACAAGCATTTTTATAAGCCAGAACTTAAGTTAAATACGTTACTTAGAGGCGTCCACATGCATCGACAGCACAGGTTAGCAACACACGTGTTCCACCAGGGATGCAAACATCAGAGGTGTTACAGATTACTTTGCCAGCAGCTAGAGGCTTTTCTAAGAGCAGGACTGACAGAAAAGTCTTTTGTGTGAAGCCCCAAGTTATTCCCTTTTCCCAGTGAAGGGAACCGAGTGGCTCTGGCCCACGCAGGCACCAAAACAAGGGCTGTGCCAGGGCTCCACACCTTTCTGCTGCAACGCTGACAGCTTGGAGCTCCGAAGGGCAGAGAAACAAGAGGAAGGATCTGGCTGATGACACCCAGGGAAGGCTGCTACAGGGGTTACAAAGAAGAAAACACATCTGAGATGCCCCCACCCGATCTGCTAGAGGCACGGGAAGCTTACCTGGCACTGGAGGCCTGGGGCTGGGCTGCTGGTGGTCCCCAGGGCACCGTCCCTGGTCCAGGCGGGCCTCTCTGGACGAGCAGCAGTAGCG